GGGGGGGGGTTATTGTGGTAGCGATAAATCTTGTTGAGTCAGGTGGACGATGGTCATCAGGTGCGCGTGAACGGACTACTCTAACCTCCGACCCTCAAAGCCACAACTTACTTCTCCAGTGTTATCTCAAAGTCTCGTACATCCCATAATTTGCACGATTCCTCAATTTCTTCAGGTTCCAGAATTCGTTGTCACATGATGAGGTCCAATTTTTGGATCAATGAATTTATCCCGGCAGGTACTCCTCAGGAAAATATTGAATTTCTGAAAATTCTGGGGGAGGGTAATTTGAGGCCTCCCACGGGGAGAAAATAGCCATGGAAAAAGTTACATATTGTGCAATGTCTCGGTGAAACAGAAATTTAGCAGACTCATGGAGCGGTGAAAATGGACTCGGCAAGAGGACGAGCAACTGCGGTGGTCAACGATACCCAGGATTCCTCATTGCACCGAGCAACAACGAGTGTTCATTACTGCTCTCGTCTTCCAAGGGACAGACGTTTAACTGTTTTGTCCCGGCTGATGGATAGCGCGTTCGCACGTTATTATCCTACTCTTCCCCTCTATACGGTGTTGTTGAGCAGTTTTATGGTTCTTGGCTTGGCGCGAACGTCACTGTTGTGCTTGCCAGAGACTTACCTCGTAATAGTCTATTTTTCCGATAATAATCCTCATGAAATGCCCGTTCAAATGGCCGCACCAGCGGAAGTAATTGAATAAATTTTTTCACCATTTTTTTTTAGCGCAAATTTTCAACTCGCGGTAAAAAAAAATGGAAAATTCTCGACGCCATTATTTCACGCCATTATTTCACACCTTGACTGCAAGATTGACCGACACTGAGTAATTAAATAAACACGCGGGATTCTTCGCACGTTCCACTTTTTTTGTACTTGTCATTTTCTAAATTTTATACCTCTTTTAAATAGCTCGTGACCTCGTTGAACCTGATGATATGACTCCTCAAATTGGCCCGAGTTCACTGCGCGCTTTATCCACTGCGTGAATCTCAGTTAATGATAGATTTAATCAGTTGCTTTCAAGTCTCAAAATCTCGAGGAAATATGTGCAATGGGGGAAAAAGAGATAACGAAAAATGGAAAGGTTGCTCATAACCTTGACAACGAGAGAAGTCAGTTCCAGGTACTCCAGCTGATTCAGGCTTTGAATGTTCAAAAATTCCAACAATTAAATAAATTAACGTCAAAATCTCGAGTGACTATGACGAATTTTATTGAGATTGTTAGACATCTCTTTGACATAACGAGGTTATGTCCGGATTATCATGACAAAAATGGTTTGAAAAAATGATAGAAAGGTGTTGTCTGTGTGATGATTGCCCTCCGGCAGTTCCTCAATCGACTTTAGCTCCTCAAACGCTCAAAATCAGGTCTGACCGCTCAAAAATTGCTCACAAGGCTAGAGTCACGGAGTCGTTGGTGATCTATTCAGTTTGGGGATTCCCACGGACGTCCTCTCGATCGCTGCTCAATGACGATTGGCTGTGAGTCGGTGTGTGACTCCGGCTCCGGCTGTTCCTGGAGTGACTTCTGCTCCGCGGCCGCTCAAAATCCGGCCCCGGGCCCTCGATATTCGGTCGCGACGACTCGAGAGGTTCTTTCGATAGAATATCGATGTCGTCATTACCGTGGGATCGCATCCGTCGACCGCTCCGTCGACCTCGTCTACTCTTGCCCCGACGGCTACGACGTCCACGACTCCTGCCCCGGCCTTTCCTTCGTCCTCCGCGTCTCCTCTTCTTGCGACCGCGTCCACGTCTTGACTTGCTCTTTCCACTTCGTCCGCGTCTGCGACGACGACGTCTCCTCCGTCCTCGCTCCATCGGTCCTGGATCCTGGAGCATCTCAGGATCGGTATTCAGGGTGTAGTGGCCATGCAATCGCTTTAATATTCCGTACTCCAGGCCGCGCTTCAAGGCCGTATGAAGCTGAAAGCAAAAAAAAATTTCTTTTATCAAAAACGAATTCTCAAAAACGAATTCTCAAAAAAAAATTATCCTTTATCGTTTGTCGTTTTAGTTCAACTTTTTATGGAGGGAAGTACATGAAGAAAAAATGGGAATGAAAATTTTTGAATGACTCTTGAATCTTTTCTTTTTTTTTTCTTCTTACTCTTTTCTCCATCGACGGTTCCGCATTGCACTCCCTCACGACGTAATTGAGGATATCCTTTGCCGTTGATCCCTGAGCGTCTTGAAGATGTTTTATCGCTGATACAACGAGCTTCGACATTTTTCGCGGGGGCTTGACCATTTTGATCGCCGGTTATATTTTATTTCGTCACTTTTCTCTGATTACACCAAAAAATTAAATCGCTTGTACTCTCCAAATAGTCTGATGTGCCGAAATATTAAACTTTATAATGAAAGAACGGATGATTTTGAATGTGAATAGAAGCAGAAAGTCACATTAAAGAGAAACTGACGTGACGATCCGGAGGAATCAGGCCAATGGGTTTGTTTGACAAACGAAATATTCAGGGGCGTTTGTCATTTGTATGGTTGCTATGCTGATGGATTTTGTTTCATGAATTTCACGCGTATTACAGTAATTGTCGATGGAGGGGGGAGGAAAAATAAAAAAAAAACAGAATTAATGCTCGAAATGAGGGATAACCCAGCAACATTTGGGCCACCCGCGCAAATCGCCACACTAGACTGGTGTCACCGTATATCTGTTTAAGATATTTATAAATAGTGCATCAACGTAATATCCTCAGGCGGCTTTAACCGCGCGAAAGATTTACACACGCCTCCGCGCTAGACACGATGAATGCGGAACGGAATTTTCGACGAGATGAGCTGTGCAGTGATTTTTCGAAATAGACTGCATCCATTGTTCATAATTTCCCTCCTGAATTCACTCAATAATCTATTAATCTATAAACAAGATGTTTAAATAGGATAAAATAATTAAAAACCGCCATAAATTCGCGCTATTTCTACATAACTAATGAGTTTAATTAAAATTTAATTGGGAATTCAATCAGATGAAGAATAAAATGAATTGTGATGAACGAAATTTTATTGGGAATTAATTGTTTTAATTGTTTTTTTTTTTTAATTTAGTAGGTGTGATTGAAGTTTGAGTTTTGCGGAAAGAATACTGGGCAGAAGCTCACGTACGTGTCATCATCTCGTCGTGAATTTCTCGGCTTCTCAGCGACAGAATATCCTCTGGCTGTGTCCGACATTTGTGACTAAACTATATGCATCGCATGCAAAATTAATCAGTCAGCGTCATAATTCATCCTTCAAATTATGCGGCTGTTTGGACGCCGTCTGCGACGTTTGCACGGTCGCGGAACCTTTATGAAAAGGCATATGTATCTGCAAGTCTGGCTGCGATGTGCACCCTCGCATGTTACTAAACGTGTAACAACTATTTCTGCGTTCCGCGTCCCTGACGTGTGCCAGACGAGGGATCAGGTGTTAGGGAATATTCCCAAAAATTCCAGACACCACGATATCCACACACACTGTTATCCCCAGTGATACGAATTAATTCCGAATAAATTCTGTCGATCATCCCTCGATTGTCCACCATTTATCGAATTTTATTTAACTTTAATTAATGATATTTTGTCTTCCACATGATTCACAGCTAGGCTTGGAATGGAAAAAGATCAAAAGATCTGAAACATAAGTGAATGTGGGATAGCCCACAGAATACCTCGAATGTCATTCTCTGTGGCAAAGCGAATGTATAGAAATATACAAAGCGAGAAAAGTCTGGGAATACGGAGTCAAGAATAGGGGGTTTGTAACTAAAACGAGTTGAAAATAAAAATAAAGGACTTGTGCATCCAGACAGTGGAGGGCGTGGGAGATTCATTTATAAACTTCTTTGAAACTCCATGATTCCGTAATTTACAGCCAACCAACAAGAATTTCAAGAGGACATCTTATCGCTGCAATTAACTGGTGCAAGTCTTCGGAAAATAATGAGATCATGAGGTTTCGATAAAATAATATTTGATAGCTGATGACTGAACCCCATGCTTCATTGATCAAATTAAAAAATCGAATGATACATTCACTTTTATTGTCGGTAAATTATATATAGGTGATGATGATGATGATGATGGAGAATCAAGGAAGACAAGTGTTGTTCAACTAGTCGTTGGCATTCTTATGCTGGATGAGTGTTCGTTGAGACGAATTTGAGTTACATTCATAAGTTAATGCCGAGAATTTTCGTTGAGGAGGTGGCATCATGGACGATTCATAGTCGGAGGCATTAATGAGGTAAATGTACCCGCACATCGGTAGATACCACGGTGTCTGTTATTATAGCTGCTCATAATGGATAGCGGGCTTGTAACACGTTGGCAGCTCTCTGCCCATCTCTATGAGGCATTGAGGTCTAATTTCGAAATCCCCTGGAATATCATACAGTACTCACTGTTCTACCCCAGACCACAATAATTGCTTCAATAAAAAAATTATACAATTATACCATTAATTTTCCGCATTTTCCAAATTACCAGACACTCCCCCACCGGAAAATCATTCATCCCGCTCTCCCTTATCTCCTCCATTTTTTTTCATTTCATTATTTTTTTGTAATTTCATGATTTTTTTAAAATTTCATCCGCAATTTTTGAACAATTTTTTTTTCTGGAGAATTTCCGGGAATTGCAGACTACTGGAAAGATTTCTCCGTGAATTTTTTCATCCATTTTCCACCGGTGAAAAATCAAGTGGCGGTCATTGGCTTTTCCACTGGAGAGAGTTGAGCCAAGAGGTTGTACTGCTCGTTATTCACTGTCGTTGATCTGAAATTTTTCAAGTCGAGCAATGACTTGTCTCTATAATGGTCTTACCAATTGATGGCAGCTCGAGGGTGATTTGTCGGTTATTTGATACATTTCAACGTCACTATTTGTCCCGTATCCACAGTAAAAAATTACAACAGCCATCGGTTACATCGAGACGTCTGTCAAACTTCATTTTCATTATCATAAGTTTGATATTCGAAATGTGGATTGGGACGATTAGATGGGGCAGCTCTTTCTCTTTCTCTCTGACGCATACGTTGTATGTGATGAGTAGAATGCGTATTCTAAAAATAATATACAGTCAGACCGACACTTTGGCACGAAATACAACGGCGTCGTCGGTTAGTTTAGCGGTTGTTTACATCGATAAAGCTGTTGCGAGTGCCATTCCGGGCCATTAGCGTTCTCGTAAAGTGTTTTTTTTTTTTCTCCATATTTTTTTTACTGCGCAGATAATACCGACTGCATCTACTAGAGACCCATTGATCACCGCACAATCCGAGAATAATGACGAATAAAAATCAATCGGCGATTCAGCATGAGTTATTCGTGAGAGGAGAGAATCATCTGGCATTTGGATTTCATTCTTTCCCCCGTGAAATGTTAAATTTATGAAAATTGTTGAGAATTGTTGGGGCAATTTTATCCCGTTTAACATGAATTCGTTACTCAAAACGATTTACAAGAAAAAATATATCTCTGTGTATAATTCAGCTATTATAATAATCTCCCGTAATTTCTAGGTCTCGTCCAAATGTCCTTTTAAACGGTTTGGATTTATAAACTGTTGGTGACTCCCCAGTGGATTATTTATAATCCATTTTTTGACGTGTGCGTGAGGTACGTGTAATTATCCAGTGAGATGAGGTGTGTGTACGTGTACAGTGAAAAATAAATTACGAGTAATGACGGGTGGTGTGCGTTACGAATGTCCAACCGGTACACGACGAAATAGATTAGAGATTCCATTTTGACGTAGATTGGAGTAAATCAGGTTTCTCTTAACATTTACATGAGCATGATGCATGTTATATCTATCTCGCTATTATTACGAACGCCAGACCACCCCCGACAAGATTTCTTAGCACGACAGCCAGACAGACGTCTCACCCGCCCTCGCGCAAGTCTCATACATGAGAAATCTCCTCCGAGACTAACCGCGACATTCCACCATTATTAAGAAGGTCGCGCTCTTGACCAGTGGCTCTCCAACCGCACACATCATTTATCATATTCATTCAATATTTTATCATTCAAGGATTTTCCACCGTCAAATTACCCACAAATAATCAAAACAATCGATCCCCAATCAATCGAACTATCTCAATATCGATTCAACATGACGTCTTCACCTCTACATTTCCGGAATTTAAACGAAATAATTCAATAGCTTTGATATCCAATCGTGTCGTCAATATAATAAATAAATTGCGTAATCCCATCGGACAATTTCAATCGATGAAATGAAGCTAATCATTTGTACGATTTTTTTTTCAGAGGGAGCGTGAAAATCGGATGATTAATGCCGGATCATGGTGAGGACACATGCAAGAGTTTATCCAACGGAACATGAAGACACGCCTCATCTTGTGCATACACGTAATAAATTACAACAATGCAAATCGGACAATGGTACTACTAAGCGCCAAGACAAGATCGGTACACGAAGAGCTACACCCGCACGCACCAAAATCCTCAACACCAGAGTCAAGACTATTAATTACACTTATGCTTCCCTTAACGCTAAGTTATACATCTTCAATTCTATTTTCAATTCTTCTGAGGTGACAGGTCATAGTCGACTCCAACGCAGACGACACATCTTGTCAGCACTCGTGATGTCTAGACTTTTGCGCATATAATAAATTATCCGAATTGTCATTTCTCTTCATTTATGTTTACTCCTTGGATCATACTTTAATTGAACCCAGGTTAATTGATTATTTATCATTGAATTCGATAATTTCAATAATTTCAATAATTTTAATAATTTCAGGATGGAGAAGACGTGGTGAATGCCTTGGAGTTAATAAATCATACAAACGTGAGAATCGGTGAAAGATATGAATTTACGACTCGCCTCGCACATCTAACCCGTAACTCTGGATTCGCGTCACATAAAATCCCATGTTGGTGTATTCAGTATAGTATTTCCTTCATTCTATAACTTGTTGCATTTGGAACCACTTGTTGCTCGTTCCTGTGGAAAGATACTGTTCATTTCTATGATTATTCAGTAATTTGTCGTTTAATTTATTGCATTGTCATTTTCATTCTGGATAGAGTTGAGCTTTGAAATTTTAGGATCATGAATTTCGCTGAATGCCGAAAGACATGACTCGCGGAGACATCAAAGAGCTTCGTTAAATGCTTATTATTAGAGTCGGCCAAGTGGTCTCGCAACAGTGCGGGTGGAAGTTGAAAAATATCAGCGCCATTGCGCGAATGAGGAAAATTCAATAAATATATCCGGAGTAAACGATTGCCTCAATTCTCGGTTTATAGATATTTATTATATTTCATTACGATAAACTTACCTCGTTTTTTCTACGAGTGATAAAACGACTAGGAAAGAGACTCACAACTCGTTTCTATCTGTTATCGATATATCATTTAATTTTGAATTACCGATTTATCGGAGCGATGACGTTGTACACGCGAATGAGACAAGCTCGCCATCGATATATATCGATCTTCAAGACTTTTCCACTTAC